ACACCAGCGTGTGTGAGCTGCTGTGCGGGGACAGTCTCAGACCCAAACTGACTCCAGCTGAGGGGAAACCTCACCCCAAAATCAGGAGGGCACTGGGATGTGGCTGGTGGGTGATGGGGTCCCAAGGCAGAACCAGGGACCCGTGGCAGGTGAGGGGATTTGGTGGCTCCGTGCTCCAGTGCTGGAGTCCGGCTTGTTTCGATCATGATGATTAGCTGAGTCACAGCTGGGGTGCTGCTAATTAAATGTATTTCTTAATTAACAAGATCACAGAGAAGGCCTGCCAGCCCGGCTTGGCTTTCAATCACGGCTGACAGAGGCAGCTGTGGCCACAGAGTGCCCGAGGTGTGGCGAGCATCCCGGTGCTCAGCGCTGCCCCGTGGCTGCTCCGCTGCCCTCCTGCTCCACGGGGCCGTTCCCACAAGCAGCAGGAGTGTGAGGATGAGGAGGGGTCATGCCTGGCATCACCCAGTGCCTGGCTGTGCCACTTTGGGATGCAGTGAGTGTGTCAGGGCTCAAAGCAGGGCTGGGCCACCCCCTACTCCTGCCCTGTGACTCAGGGCTGCTTCATCCCTCCCTGCCACCTGAGCCCCGACCGAGCCTGCTATTAATTAATATTAATAATAGCCCCCTGCAGCTGCTATTCACTGACCTCAAAGCACAACCTGAAGTAACCCCGATGGGGAAATCTCCACTCCCCACCGGATGGGGAAACTGAGGCACGGGAACTGGGGCAGGAACAGTGCCAGAAGCTTTCCCTGCTCATGCACAGAGAGTGGAAGATGGGGAAGCAAAACCCCAGGGACTTCCCCCAGCCCCACGGCGATGCACGGACGGGTGAGCCAGAGTGGGTAGAGAGGGCTTCTCTAGCTGGGAAAAAAAATAAAAATTAAGATTAAAAAAACAAAGATAATAAAAAACTAACTAAACAAATAAATAAATAAGCCCATTGTGGCCCCCACGCTGAGCTGTGCCCCACGGCGAGGGGCTGCCGGGCAGTGGGAGGCTCAGCTCCCCGGCGGAATGTCGCGTGTCCTCGCCCGCCGGTGCGGGCGGGAGTCGGAGCTGGGGCTTCTCCCGGATTTTGGCAGTCTGGTCATGTCCTGCCGGCAGAGCAGCAGGACTGAGTCACGTTCCAGCGGCAGCAGTGACTCACGGACCCCCCAGCCTCCCGGGGAGCAGCCGGCACATTGCAGAGATTCCTGGATGGAGGAAGGAAAATAAAATTAAATAATAACAACTGCCAGCTTCCCCCCCCACCTCCGCCCCTTCTTCCTTCCCCCAACCTCCTGCAACACAGGCGCAAAACAGCAAATTCCTGCGCCACCGGGAAACACCTCCCGCCTCGCCAGACGCCGGGATGCACGACCTGCTTCTCAATTGCACGGAATGCCCTTTGCCGGCACCTGCGGGGGCCACTGAAAAGCAGGTGGAAGCTTCCCCCACTCAAAAGCTCCCCAAAGCATGGGGACACCCCCACAGAGAGGTCCTGCCCGTGCATTGTAAAAATGGGGTGCAGAAGGGATCCCCCTCCTGATCTGAGTTGCTCCCTGAGGGATTTGGGGGTGTGAAGAGCAGGGTGGGGTACCCCAACCCTAAGGTTACACAAGGCTGTGGGCTGTTGTTTCTCTTTTTTTTTTGGGGGGGGGAGGGATATCACAAACATTTTACATCATTTTAGCATCACCTCACATCCTTCCATCCCCCATGCTGGGGTGCCCCCAGACTCAGGGGACACAGAGCTCCCACGTGTCCCCGCAGCCCCGGCACGGTGGAGAGCGATGCCCCGGGGCAGGGCTCTGCTGTGGCTGCCTCCCAATTCAGTTTATTTCTTATTTAAAGCGCTTGGCGGGAGCAGTGGGCTGCAGAGGCTGCATGGTGGGAGAGGCTGAGCTGCTGCAGCTCTGGCACCGCGGCGCTGCAGCGAGAGCTGCTCAAAATCCCTCAGCGAGGGGGGAGCTGCCCCACAGCCCCACAGTGAGGAGTGTGCTACCCAAACTCTCACAGTGAGGAATGTGCTGTCCCCGAGCAGGGACTCTGTGGGTCACAGCTCCTCCAGGGATCACCCCTATGGAACTCAACACCTATAAGCAACACCCCACTGTGTGGGGTTGGCCCCTATGGAGCCCAGCACCCATACAACCAAAGCCCAGGGGTTATAGAGCAAAAACCGCTGCCCCAAACCTCTAAAGAACAGTCCCTAGAGAGCACGAAACCCCATCCCATGTAGTGGGACCCCACTGCAGGAGGGACCTGCAATTAATGAGCAAGAGAACATGCCCAGTGGAACAGCCCCCAAAGAGGGGAAGTGCCAGCCATGTAGAGAACCCCTGCAGAGCCTGTCCCTATGGATCAAGAGCCCACAGAACAGCTCCCAGAGCAGCCCTGCAGGCTGGGGCTGTGGAGTTCTATAGGCCCATAGGGTTCCCATCCCACCCCACAGCTGGAGGGGCACCAGCCCAGACCCTGCTGAGCCCCTTCCTGGGGATCAGGGGGAGATTGCATCCCACAGAGCCCTGCAAGGGGGGACCACAGCTATGCCCCTGCCAGCCCCCTCTGCTCCCTGATGCCCTTGAACCTCTCCACATCCCCCTCCCACAGTGTGGATGGAGTTGTGGTACCCAGCCAGGGTTTGGGGTGAGCACAGGACAGTGGAGCCTCTGCAAGGGACATGTTCCCCTGGGCCCAGGCTGGGTGCTCTCTGTGATGGGTGTCCCAGCCCCAGCACAGGCACTGTGGGTTTCACACGGTATTTTGGTCAGTGCTTACGAGAAGAGGCGCAGGGGGGCCCGCGGGGGGGATGCCAGTAAATGGCCTGTGAGCCTTCCCCATTCTCGAGAATAGGAAACTGTGACTTCTGCATGTGGGTTTCACTTTCTGCTCCGGAGGAGGCGAGAGGCCAAACTGCTCTGCTTGACCACTGCTGTGGCACCACCTGGGGATTGAGACAGGATGGGCAGAGAAAATTCATCAGTGTATTCTCTGCACGTGAAATTTTAATTTTTTTTTGTTTGTTTTGTTTTGTTTTGTTTTGTTTTGTTTTGCTAGGAAAGCAGGGTTGGGGAACCATGCAAACACCTTAAAGTTTGGTCTCTCACCTTCCTGTTTCGGGATGTTCAGGGCAGTGATTCTGTCTCCCTGTCTGAGGGTGGCACGATGCCAAAGCCACGGCAGTGACCTGCCCCAGTGCCCTGCCACCCCCTCCATCCCTGGGTCACCTCTCCTCTGTGGCAGCATCCTGAAGCACCCACAGGTGCTGCAGTGGGGCAGTGGTTCCGAGGGTGCTGGGGGTCAGGAGGGAGGAGAGCAGGAGCTAGTAAAAATAGCCCCAGGTGCCCTCTGCCCCGGGAGCAATCCTCACTGGGTAAACAGGAAATCTATTCTTAGGCCATTCACGAGCCAAGGGCTGAAGGCAGCTCCCTGCTCCGGGCTTGTTTTGTTCCTCACTGACACAGGGGTGACGCCGAGGTGGAAGGGCCACCACACAGAACCTTCCAGCCCCGCGGGCTTCCCCTTGCTCACTCTTTCCTCCCGGCAGCACCCTGAGCTCCCCAGCTTTTCCAGAGCTGCTGGGGTTTCCCTTTCCCATGGGGTGATGGTGGGAGGTGAGGGCTGCTTGGGGGGGTCTCTGGAAAGCCCTGTTTGTGCTGTTTGCATCTGGGCTCAGCCCCGTGCTCAGTGGCACCCTGAGGGGCAACTGCTTTGGCAGAGCTCTGGCCCTGACATGTAACTCCTCTCCCCCTTCCTTGACGGGATCTCATGAGTTGGAGGAGATAAAACTGCCACAGCTTGTCCTTTCCTGGGATGAGCTGAGTAAACTGAGGAAGGACATCGCTCACAGCTTTTTCATGTCTCCCCAAAGCCCCCCAGAGTGGTGATAGCTGTGGTTCACCTTTACCCCCCCCATCCTTTCCCCAGACGTTGTTCCCATTTGCTCCACCTCCCTTCCCAGTTTGCTGGGATCTGTTCAGCCTGACACCCCCGGGCTCTGCCCAAGGCTGCTGTGCTGGAGCTGCTGCATGGTCCAGGCACAGGCAGCAAGCCCTGCCTGCCAGAGATCATGGGCTACTCCAGCTCTGTGCACGAGGGCCCTGCCAGGCTCAGAAGTGACAACTTCCATCTGGATAACATTTTTGGGAAGCTAAAGAGAATGCAGAGAGGAAAATGTGTGGCTGCAGCTTAAAGCACTGACTGAAATAAACAGGGGTGCTCGTTATGCTGATGATGGAGAGGGGGATCACAGCAGCACCTGTGTGGAGACATGATCTTGTCCCAGTGTTTTCCCCCAGGAAACATGTACCTGAGGGAGGTACAAAGGTGGAAGGTGCTTCTGGGTAGGAGTGAGCGTAGGCAAAGCCTGGGATGGGCAAGAGTGAGGGCTGTCTGTGGTTAAGGAGTACCCCCACACCATGGGGCTGCAGTGTGAGGCCAGGAGTGGTGACAAGCTGGAAAAGGGACATCCTGAATCCAGCACTGGGGTCCCTGGGCTGTGAGGCTGAGCTACAAGCCTGGTCCCTGACATATTTGTGACATATACGGAAATGTGGAGCCACGGAGACAGTCCCACGGGGCTCTCGGGAAAATACACGCCCAAAAAAGGCTGCATGGAGTGCAGAGAGGGGTCGCAGGTGGGGTTTATCTCATCACTCCGGTCCACAGACTCTCCCGACTCGGGGTATCCCCGAGCTGCGAAGGACGGGGTGGTGCTGCCCTCGCGTGGCCGCGGGCGGCACCGCACAGCGCCCGGGCCGGGGTCTGCGGGGCGCGGGCTCCCCAAAATCCCCTGTTCCCTCCACTCCCAGCGCCTCTGTCCAGCGTGGAGAGCGGGGAGGGAGGGAAAGGGGGTCCAGCTTGTCCGTGTGGTGGCAAACGTGTCCCCATCTCGCCCCTATCACGATGGAAAACCAGAACGTGGAGATGTCGGGGGTCTGCCTGAAGCCAGCAGAGAGCAGGCAGGGGAGGTGTGACCCACCCCCGGCAGCGCAGGGGTGGGAATAGCCTCATTCTGCTTCATCACAGGGGTCTGCATCCTCCTCCTCCTCCTCCTCCTCTGGGTGTGTGATCCCTGCAGCAGAGCGGGCCATGGCCTTCATCCAACGTTGTTTCAGCTCCTCAGTGTCAGCCACGAAGGTGAACACCTGCCGGGACTGCACCAGCTGGAAGAGGTGCCGGGACTCGCTCTGGGGCATGTCCCGCACCTGGTAGCCCAGCAGGGGGATGGAGGTGTGGGCTCGGACGTCCTGCCAAGAACAGAGACAGTGGTGGGAGGCAGGGGATGGGCACAGCGGGATGTCCCCTGAGAACAGAGGGATGTCCCCTGGGCACAGCAGGATGTCCCCAGGGGTTGGATTCGAACCAAGCCTCACCTGGGGGGCTGCATAGATGTAGAGCACGAGGGGATCGTCCTGTGGGATCACGAACCAGCCCCGTGTGCCCCCCTTGCTGTTCTTATCTAGCAGCTGCAGGGAACTGCAGAGCAAACTCCTGCTTGAAACCTCTGCAGCTCCTTTCTGCCAAAATAACCAGCAATCCCTCAGTACCCGGTGCAAATGGTAGAAAGGGCACTGAGCTGAGATAATTTCCTGGAGAATTCCCTTCCCACACTCCAGAAAACCTCCCCAAAGCAGGGGCAGGTAAAGGGCTCTCCCGGCTATGACAGCTGCTGACATCCTATGGTGAAGTGAGCCCTGGATGCTCGGTCCCAAGGCCTGGATCACGAGAGAGGGAGATCAACACATGCACCTTCTGACTGCTGCGGGAGTGACTCCCACCCCTCCTGGAGCGGGTGCAGGGCCAGGCTGGGACAGCGAGGCTGAAGACCCGAGTGGGTGGCAATGCTCAGAGGGCCGGGGAGAGAGGAGGAGCTCACCTCCAGGATGCCTTTGTGCTTCCCCTCGCGGTCCTCGAGCACCGTGCGGCCGGTGAGGAAGATGAAACACTCCTGGCAGACGCGGTTTGGGCGGTTCCCATCGTACTGCAGCTCGGCCTTGTAGTCGGAGCAGCGAGCACACACCACCTGCAGCCACCAGGCAGGGACACTGGTGACACTGGGGCAAGGCTAGGGGACCCAGGGACAGCTCCATGAGGAGCTGAGGGGTAGGAGCAGCCTAAGCCTGTGAAACGGGTACAAGTGTAGGAGGTGCGCTCCTGGCCCAGCAGCCACCTGAGCAGGCCAGGGGGGAGGGAAAGGGACACGGGGGTGACTCACATATCCACAGGCTCGGCAGTGGTGCCTCCGGCGGGTGATGGCATTGAAGGGCTCCTTGCAGCGCATGCACATGGTGACCAGATTGTCCCGCACCCACTGTGGGGCTCGGCGGCCCAGCTCCTCTGTCTGGGGGTGAGAGGCCATAGTCTGGGTGGTGCCAGCCCCTCTGTCCTCACCCCTTCCCCTCCTCATCCTCCCCCCAGGTCGGTTTAGCTTGGGAAACTGAGGCACAGGTAGGCAGGTAGGGGACAGGGAGAGCAGGAGGGTTACCTGCAGTGCAGGGGTGTCTGTCTCCAGTCCATGGACTGCTGTCTTAAAGGTCTCACTCCTCTTCTCCTTCCTGTCAATGGCATCTTGGAAGGCCTAGAGGGGAAGGCCTTGGAAGTGCTGGAGGGGCACTGGGGGTGCCCTGATCCATGGCACCCAGCCGGGATGGGGGGGCTGTGCCCCCTCTCCCAGCACTTGGTGGTACCTTGATCCAGGCGTTCATCTCCTCCCCAGACCTGGGGACAAAAAGGAGGTGGATGAGCTGCTGTCCCTCCTCCCCAAGTGTCTGCATGATGTCACCCTTCCCCATACCTGGCTTGGAGCTCCAGCGTCCGCTGCTTTCCCGAGACCAGGAAGGTGTGAGGGAACTCGGTGTCCTTCAGCTCCCGCACCTGTGGGAGACCAGAGAAAGGATGTGGAGCTGAACCCACTTCCAGCACACCTTGACCTTTCTCCATGGTGTGGGGAACAGGGATGTCCCTCGGGCACAACACCTTGAGCCCTCATATCCCACATGCACAAGATTTCATTGGCTTTTCCCCGGATCACAGTATCAACCCCACACAGGAAGCCACCCCTGGCTCCAGCTCTTCCCTCCCTCCCCAGGAAGTTCGGGAATCAGCCACGCCCCAGAACAGAGTCTTTTGGAGGAGTCAGGAGCTGGGGGAAGCACAAGGAGAAGGTGCCTGTCTGACCTTCATGCCCTCCACATCCATGCGGAGGTGGACCTGGAACTCGGCGCCCACCTGGATGATCTTGGGCACACAGTACAGCAGCATATTGTTGAACTGGGAGGGGAGAAGAGGGTGGGTTGGAGCCCAGCACCACCTGCTCTGAGCTGTGGGCTTCCCTGGGGTCCTTCACTCCCCAGGCCTAAGCTGGCCCTTGGGAAGAATCCCACCTAAACCTTGTCCGTTGCTGCCTCAGCCCCCTCCCACCCTGCAAAGGTGAAGCATCTCCCAGGGCTGCCATGCCCAGGGATCAGCAGATTCCCAACCGTGTCCCGCAAAGGGTGCCCTGCACTGAGTGGGGTCAAACCCCCCTAGCTCTTAATTCATCCCCTCTGTGTCAAGGTGACCCAGCAACACTCTGGCCAGGCTATGCTGCCCCTCTCCCCACTCCCATTTAATCTGCTCCCTCCCCTTGCCCCAGGCATCCCAGCTCCCACCAGGAACAGGTACTTCTCCGATGTGCTGTTGCTGCGGGTGGATATTTTTTGGATAGGTCCCTCCTTGATCAGATCGTTGGAGGGATCCACGATGTCATCCTCGAGGCCCAGCCTCTGATAGACCACCCAGAGGTTCTGCAGCCGTTCCTGGGGGAGGCAGAGGGCCCTGTTTTTGTGGGGTACTGAGCAGCCTAGTCACAGTTGGGTCCCCTCCATGCCCACCTCCCAGCCAGTTGCTGAGTACTGCGAGAGGTGGCACAGTTCTCTCAGCCCAGACTGATCTTCAGGAGCAGCTTCCAGCCTCGACCAGCTGGTCCCACCCCAGCTGATGCTACAGATGTCATATCCCCTGGATGGGGCTCCACAGCTGAACCCACAGGGCTCTTGCCCCCTTCAGGGGGACTGTGTTGTCAGTTGCAAAGCATTTCCTGGGACAGGGCCTCACCATCTCAGCAATAGCTGCATTGGAGTGCTTGGCCACCATAAAAATCATCTCCAGGGCTTCTGCAATGAGAACAGACAGGCTGGAGGTGAAACACCTGCTCTGGAGCTGTGGGAGGAAGGTTCTGGCTCTGTCCCTCATGGATACACATGAGTAGCAGCTGCTGCCATTACATGAATACAACCCAAGTGGCCCTGAAACATTGTGCAGAGTCTGGGTACAGCTGGACTGCACGTGGAGGAGACTTGGAGGGACAGACAGCCCTCTCCTGTATCACTCCATCCCAGCAGGACTGGGAACTGTGTTATCCACAGGGGTCTGAAAGCTTCCCCAGCTGCTACGGGTGTCTTTAGGGGATACTGTGGACACCTGACACACCATCCTTCCCCTCCCCAGCCCCTGAAAAGGCAGATTAATTCCTCTCCCTGCTAGAAAAGAATCAGACTGAGAGGTTTATCCAAGGGTATGGGGCAGCTGCTGAGTGAATCCAGGTACTCTGGTGCCCATGTACAACACCAGGGGTTGTTATTTCCCTACAAACCCACCCTGCCCTCCCCACGGTGGAGACCCAGAGCCCTTACTCTCAGCATCGCCCCTGTCGGGGGACTGGGGCGGGAGTTTCCGGACATAGTCCTTCAGGAGGAGCTCGTAGCGCGGGATCCTCTGCACAGGTTCCAGCATGTGGTGCTGCAGCGTCAGGTTAGCACAGACCTTCCTCTTCTGGTCAGGGACAGCAGGCACGGAGAGAGGAACAGTGACCAAAGCAGCTCCCACCCTCTGCTGTTTCCCTGCTCCCAGGAGATTTTGGGAGCTCTGCTGCAATTCCCCCGCCCTGCCCTTGCCTGGATGTCAGCAATGAGCTCCTGGAAGGGCGGTGATTTCTCTGACCAGGCAGTGATGAGCTCCATGGCCTTGTCAAAGTTCTTCACATACTCCCCATACATCTTGAGGAAGGGTGCAAGTTTCTGGATCACATCCCCAATGCGGGGGTTGCAGTTCCTGCAGGAGGGAACCACAGACCAGCAGCTTCCTCAGTCTGTCAAGACAGACAGTGAGGGATGAACTGAAGGACCATGGTGGAGGACTGAGGTTTTCCCTGCTGCAACCTGCTACATCCCCACACCATTTCCTGCTCTCCAGAACAGGAATGTCCCCACCCTGCAGCCAGCCTGGGCTGTTCGTACCCAGGCACACTCTCAAACCACCTGAGATATCACTCAACTTTCCATACTGTGATCTGAGCATTTTAAGGAAATGTTTTCCAGCACAAAACATTTGGAGCAAAACAGGCTGAGCTCTGGTGGGAGCCCAAACTCAGTCCTGCCCCCTCCCCTATTCTGGCCAAGCCACTCAGGTGTCCTGCTCTCCCCTCCTGCAGCTCACCAATCCTCCATGCGCTCCTGCAGCTCTGGCAGGAAAAACTCAGCATGGAACTGGTAGATGGAGGAGATGTTGGAAAAGATCATTTTCACCACCTCCTCTGGGACCATCTTCCCAGTTTTGGCTTCTTTCATCAGCTCTGTATAGAACACCTGGAAGAAAGAGGGGTGAACAAAAAAGGCCAGGGAGATGCTTGAGGATCCCATTCCCTCTCTGAGACTTGTACTTCACCCAGTGAAAAGCCTGACTATGCAGAAGGGAAATCCCAGGCTCCAAGAGGAGAGGGGAATGGAAGGCTTTGCTGGGACAAGAGTGCTTCCCAGAGGTGTGGGGTGTAGAAAGGCAAAGGCCAGACCCAATCTCTGGCTGTAAAGACCTGTAGCCCAAATGTTTCTCATTTTTACAGCTTTGATCTCTTCAAAATCCCCTTGCACTGGTCCCTCTAGTCCCCAGTTCACCTGGTCAAGAAGGTGGAGGCGGTTGACATAAGCCTGCTCTGTCTCCAGCAGCTCCAGTGCGATTTTCTTTTCCTCTGGTTCCTGCATGGGGAGCAGGGCTCAGTCTCGTGGGCAGAGATGAGACCCTGAGCCAGCCCTGCCTGAGTGTGGGCACCCACCCACCTCTGGAGCTCACCTGGCTGCCAGGCTCCAGGCCTGGGCCCTGTGGCCTCCTCCAGTCATCCTCACGGATTTTGTATCGCAAAGAACTGAGGCATTTGAAGCTGAGTCCACGCCGACCTTGCTGATCCTTCTCCTCCTCATTCTCTTCTGTAGTCAGGGAGCAGCTCTGGCTGGCAGGGAATGTTGGAAGCTGTTGGGGCTGGCTGCCTGCCTGCTTGTCCCTCTGGGCAGATGTGCTGTTCCTGCTACAAAGGAATGTGATCAGCTCAGCCATTCCCCCAGCACAGCCCCCAGGCCCAGCTGAAAGCCACCAAAAGGGACAAGAGCAGCAGCTGCCCAGCGCTGACACTGCTCTGCTCAACTACAGCCCTGCAGAACAAACACCCTCAGCATCCTCCATGGGGCCAGGATCCAGCCTCACTTCTCCCAGTGCCCCCTGCTGCTCTAGAAAAGCAGGATCCTGCCGTTCATCCCACCCACAGCTCTGGCTTTCTGCCTGCTGCCACCACAGAGAAAAACAGGGAGAAGCTCAATAGCCAAGAGTTTTGAGCCAAGAGGAGGCCATGTGTGGGTGGTATTGCAGACAGGTTGTTTTTTGGTGGTGTTCTCTCTTCCCTTTTCTGGCAAAGACAAAGAAAGCAAGTCCAGAGCAGGCATGGGGGAGAAGCCAGGCTGTGAAGGTGACAGCAAGTGACTTGTCTGTCATCCAAGGGCTGGTCCCTGAAGGAAACTGCTTTGGGCAGAAACTGGAAAGACATCCACTGTTGGCCTGCAGACAGGAGTGGGATGGATAGGATGGGAAAGACATGAAGAAATTTGACATCCAACTGCAAAGTTGAGGATAGGAGGTGACTTGAGGAGCAGAGACTCATCTGAAGAGGATGTCCGTGAGCTCAGGAGTGCATCCACAGCCATGCACAAATCCCCTCCTGTCCAGGGTGGCTGGCAGAACCCTTCAGAGACAAAGAGGCTTTTTCCATCTCTCCTGGTGCTTCCCAAACCTGTGTCAGCCTAAAGCCACGGCTGTATTGACACTGACTTAGACCAAACTATTGTCTGTTCCAAAATGCTGTGCTCATTCCCAGGTTCCCCAACTTCCTCTGAAAGTCCCAAGTTACTTTTACTTCCTCTAAATCAAACTCGCACTCCAGGGGAAACAACAAACACACTGCAGCAGTGACATGGAGGCAGATCAAACACTGCAGTGGTTCCAACACATCACTGTGGGATGATGGGGACAACCACAAAGCCTGGGGAAAAGCACACAGCAGAGATGCAGGAGTTCCTGGAATGAAAGGAAACCTTGTGCCTGAGCATCTTCAGGAATTGCTGCAAAACTCACCTGCTGCAAAACCACCCAGCCTCTCCAAGGCTCACTGAGAGCATCTCGTGGGTACAAAGAACGGCAGGATTCCATATCTTGATCCAACAGATGGAGAAACTGAGGCACAGCCCTGACAATAACTTACCTGAAGCCTCAGAATTACTTTTACACCAGAGCCAGAGGAGATCCCCTTGCTCAGACCCCCGGTATGAGGGTCCCAGCTCACACTCCAAGGGAAGGATCTGTTTTATGAAAGGAATTCTCTCTCTCCCTTAACATAATGCTTTATGCTTCCTTTCCTAGGAGCCACATCTCTGCAAACAACTGGAAAGTCTGAGGCTGGGACCCTCCCAGACACCCAGACAGTTAATTCCCAATGGAAACCTCTGCCTACGTATTTTCAAACCATGATTCCTTTCCCCAGCAGCAGCAGCAGCAGGATGCACCAGCCAGGCTGAGTGTGAAGATGCTGAGTGTGGGGGAATGGGCTGCCACAGCCTAACCCTGAGCCAGGCAAAACCACTCACACCCCAATGAGGTTTTGAGATTTCTGCTCATGACTCGCAGTGGGAGGAAGACACTGAGGCAGACCCGAGTGGTGAAGAATTGCAAATCACCTTGTCAGCTTCTCCACAGGCCCCAAACCACCTCCATAGTGGGTTTCTTCCTTCCCAAACCCACTCTACATCGAGCCCTAACACACCCTCAGCACCCAGAGCCCTTCTGCCTTACCAGTGCTCTTCGAACGCGGCCACCAGCTTCACCACACTCTGCTGATTGTCCACCTTTCCCTCCATGCCATGGGCTGGGAGCAGGACCTGGTGTCCAGGAGCTGCAGGGGCAGGTGCTGGGGGCTGCAGTTCCTTCTTCTGTCCCTCTCTCTGCTCTGGAATGTTTCAGGCTGCAGTTTGGGAAGGAGGTTTTGCATGAGGCAAAGCCCACCCGCTGCCTTCTCTGTGGTAGCAGAGCTTGTCTCTGGGCTGGCCTCAAAAGGAAAGGGAAAGAGGAAGCATGGCAGTCTGTGGGTAGGAGAAACGCTGAGAAAACGCTGGGAATCACTTTTGTTTGGGAGGGAAGGAAGTGGTGGCACAGGCAAGGCCAGAGCAGCAGCAGGCATGGTGCAGGGCAGGAGTGACCTGGGGCACCTCCTGGCTGTGCAGCCCAGGTGGGGTGGGCTGTGTCCCACCAGGGTGGGTTCAGGGGGACAGACTGGACAGTCCAGATGGCTGGAGGGGCCAGGAATGGGCTGGTGGGACCCTGGTGCCCAGCTAGGGCTGATGTGTCTGTCCCAAACACCAACAGCTGAACGGCTGTGGGGCCAACCAAGGATTGCTGCTAACAACACACAAGCTTGTTGGTAACAACCATGAGAAAGAACAAGAGGTAGCTGGAGAAGGGGCCACATGAAGGTAGGGCAAGACTTTTCCAGAAAGGTCTGAAAGAGTGCACTGTGTATGAGAACCAATTTGCATGGAAAGTGAGAAACGCAACCAGGAGTGGAGCTCTCCTTTCCTTTTCCCTCTTTTTTTCTATTTTTTGAGGGTATTTTTTATTATTTATTTTACCCTCCCTCCTTCCCTGCTTCCTTCCTTCCTTCCTTCCTTCCTTCCTTCCTTCCTTCC